GCATCAAACAGAGAGGCCACCAAGGCACAGCAGCTTCTCCCTCTTAAAATTATGCAAGTTAATCATGCCACCAGTGCAAGAATGTATATTATATCAGCCAGCAACGCTTTGGTGAATGACCTTTGCTAATATAATTAAGGATTTGTAAATACCATCCACTTTTATTCATTCAAAATTATTTGTCTTACAAAGCACAACCAATTGGTTAGAGCTGTTTTGTAGCCAGTCCAATTAAATGTGTAGCTGAATATTTTAAAATATTTGTACACATCTGAAGTGCTCAATAATTCAAAGTCACTTGACTTGTCACTGATTATTTCATTGAAAGACTCACATATAGGTATTCTGTATAACCTCCAATGGTAAGATAGATCTACATAACAACTTACAACTTCCCCTTCTCATTAGCATTCTAGTGAAGAGAATGTCACTCTCATACATGTTTGAAGAAGACAGATTTTAAAAAAGGTAGTGAATACTGTCGGTGTTAAATTCCAGCTTTTGTTTGATCTAATACTTGCAAATCATTTTGCAATATTCATACCTTGTTGCAATACAGGAAACTCCCAAGTGCAAACACAATCACTGTTTTGTTTTCATACATGACTTCATCTTCCAGACTCTTTCTAAACCATCGAACGAGCAGCACCCATTTTGTTCATAAAACAAACGTATCTGTTTTTTAAAGTCTTGTCTTGAAACTGTCAAGAGCTGAGACATAATACTTATTTCTAAGGTTCAGGAAATTAAATTATTTTTCTATCGAAATGCTTTGCTTATAATATCTAAAAGCTCAGGATGTAGAATGGTGACTTAAAAACCCAGGTTGCCATCTTTTTCATTCAATTAATTTTATGACCTAAAAAATTATTAACTGATAACATTTAAACAAATTTGCTAATAAACACCAAAACATCTGTCTGTCTACCTTCCTACCTATATTAAAAACTGTATACAGTGGTGCCCTGCAAGACGGGTGCTCTGTTTGATGACGAAATCGCATCACGATTAACTTTTTGCAATCGCAAAAGCGATTGCAAAATGATGTTCCCTAGGGGGGAATTTCGCTTTGCGATGATTGGTTCCCTGCTTCAGGAACCGATCATCGCAAAGCGATGATTTTTTAACAGCTGATTGGCGGTTTCAAAATGGCCTCCGGGTAAACAAAATGGCTACCCGCTGTGTTTTTGCACGGATTCCTCGCTGCACAGGCAGCGGAAATGGCCACGCTATGGAGGATCTTCGCTGGACGGTGAGTTTGAAGCACCTAGGGACGCCTTAATCTGGTTTTAATGCATTTCTATGGGCTTTTTAAAATTGCATCATGATGTTTTCATTCTACAGCGATTTCGCTGAAACGAATTAACATCGTGATGCGAGGCACCACTGTATTAAACTATGAAGCAAGATACAGTTGAACACACAAAATTGCTAAATATAATTAGAATCTCTACAATCACCTTTTTTCATTTCCACTTACTTCTGCACAAAAAAACACCAGAATTAAGGTCCATTTTGGTGCCTAGGTGCTAACTGTGTGTCAGAACTGGGAATATTCTAATATGAGCCCCATGGAGTAGTGGTTAAATTGCAAGCACTGCAGTCAAGACTCCGCTCCCAACCTGAATTTGATCACAATGGATTCAGGTAGACGGCTCAAACCTGCCATCCTTCCGAGGTTGGTAAAATGAGTACCCAGCTTGATGGCAGGTATGTTTGTTGTTTGCATAATTATTCTGTAAACTGCCCAGAGTAAAGTGCTTGACACTGTGGGGTGATATGTAAGTCAAAGCAACAAACAGCAGCACTGTATTTTGATCAAAACAATGCTTGCCACTTTCCTCTTCATTATCACACAGCATTGCTATGGTGAATTTTGGTGAAATATTGCTCCCAACAAGCCAGTGGGCCCTGGGGTTCTTCTACTAATGCATTTTGCAATATTGTCTATATTCTATATTCGTCCCTGAAAGTATCCTGAAAGGTCCCTTTTTTGCCATTTGTCAATTGGGAGTGAAAGAGGAGTGCATTTCAGCCAGGCTTCATATAAATAGCTAAGCTATTCATATCGTATGATTTCAGAGTGCAAATAATTGCTCACAAGATGGAATTTGTCTCACGGAGAAGACTAACTTGTCGAAGAGAAAGCAACCCTTCAGCTCATGATCAGTTACCAATCCACAATACAGTGCTTTGGATTATTGCCCAATAGCGCAAGGTTGTACATCTTTACTCAAAAGTAAGCCCTACTCAAAAATGGAGGTGAATTCAAAGTAAAGTTATTCAGCTTTTCAGCTAAAACTGCCCAGAAATTTGCCATCTATACATAAAATTAAAAATAAATCAATACCCCATTAATCATGCTTAAACTACTTTTAATATGTCCCTGCTATCAATTAAGTGACATATAAAATCATAACAAATCCACACAAAGACATAAAAGGTTTTTAGAGAAGCAAATAGACTCTGACATCTCTTACATAATTCTAAAATAATAACCTTGAAAAGAATAATTAACTAACATAACTATACTCAAGTCTAAAACGTATTCCCATTGTAAGTCATAATATTGTACCAACAAAAGCTTCAGAAATGTTTGGCACTTGGTATATTAAGAACAGACAGTAAATAGGGTCAGGCCATAAGAAAAGATCAGAACTGTACAATCACGCCATGCATTGTAATCCTGTATGTGTGTGTTTAAGAGGCAAGTCCCAGAGGGCTCAATGGGATTTTCTCTAGGTGAATGTACATAGGATTGCAGTCTTATATGGCTAGCAAGGAGCAAAGTGAAGCCATTCCCTCACCCCAAGCCCCACTCACTTGTACCAGCCAGAGCAAAAACTGGGTGGGAAGATGTTTTTCCAAGATGTTCAGCTTATGGAACTTATTTCTTTTAAAATGTCTTCACATCAGGACCTTGGATCTTTGCTATTTGGAGAATGAAGAGGATTTAGGTAAAGGTAAAGGTTCCCCGTGACATTTAGTCCAGTCATGTCTGACTCTAGGGGGCGGTGCTCATCCCTGTTTCCAAGCCATAGAGCCAGTGTTTGTCCGAAGACAGTTTTCGTGGTCACGTGGCCAGCATGACTAGACACGGAATGCCATTACCTTCCCACCGAGGTGGTATCTATTTATCTACTTGCATTCTTACATGCTTTCGAACTGCTAGGTTGGCAGGAGCTGGGACAAGCGACGGGAGCTCACTCCATTGCATGGATTCGATCTTACGACAGCTAGTCTTCTGACCTTGCAGCACAGAGGCTTCTGCGGTTTAACTCACAGCCCCACCACATTGGTTGGTCTCAAAGTGATAATAACTCACCTGCCCACATCTCATCCCTCAAATGCTCCATATTTCAGAGTCTTATGCTTCTAACCATCATTGGTAATATTGTTAGTAGCAATATTCTGCCTGCAAAGATTTACACAGGCAGAAATGGGCTGCCAGGGAGGGCACAGCACGCACACATTCTGCATCAGCAGAGCTTGTGCTTACCTGTAGGAAAGGCTCCCGGTTCATCCTAGCACACTTCATGTGAAGTTAGGATTTTTCTACCCATTCACTCAAGGCAGACTTATTTGAGATTTTATTTTATAGCTGCTGTCTGAACTTCAAATGATATTAAAGTAAAAATTAATATTTTAATTGCATGTTGGGCTAAATAAATTTATTAAATGCAAATGAGAAATACTCATTACCTCTTTAATCTCAATTCCATATTCTGATGCAAATATATCAATTTATTATGTGCTTCTGACTTGGAGAAACCTAATAAGATTTCTAAGAAAAGGAAGATGTTCAAGGAGTAGTTTGCCTCACCAATTGAGTAATTTCCACTCAGTCATGGACATTCACCTCCAGTGAATGAGTGTGGACTTGAAGACAGGTGTCTTGAGTCATAGATCAACATTCTATGCTCTACACCACACTCAGTCTCAAATGTATGAATTGAGTATCAATATTACTTGTTTTGGTGTATGGTTATACATATGATTTCTTAGGATTTACCCTACCTACCTGTATAAATGAGGTCTTTCTGTGCTGAACAGATACCTTCAACAGACTGGACCTGGCTCGGAAGCTCTCCACTATATGCAGTGAAGCGACTCAAATAAGTAAAGAAGGAATCATTATTTTTGTCAGTTTAATGACTCTTAAGTTTCTTCTCTTATTTGTAGTGGAAGTTGAAAAATAAGAGGAACTTTCTGAAAGATATCATTTGGAGGTTTGTGCTCACAAGACGCAGCTGGGGAGAGTGTTAGCTCCATTTTTTCTTCATGACTCTTGGTGCATGCGACACAGAGCCCATGCGGTGGCAAAAATTCCATCTGCCAAACACATGATCAGTTTACCTGCAAGTAACCCCTTTCTCTTTCTCCACCTAATCTCCACTAGCTAGCCCTATAATACGCTCATAGAAATCCTGAATAATGTTTGAGTCACACAGCAATACACATACAATAGACAAGCTGACTGCTGCATAGGAAGTCTGCAGAAAATTTGGTAATACCCTTTGAAGTCTATTCTTTGAAGATAGTACTGAAATGAGCTTATTTGTAACAGAAATGCTTTTTTTATTAATGTCTTTTATAATAAGGCATATTTTCCATAGATTAACATGTCACTTTCACCTTGGCATTAAAGCAGCTGGGAATAACTATTTATTATAGTAGGCTTTCTTTATTTAGCATCATCAGCGAAGTTAAACAGATCACTACAAATCATTAATGTGTAATAGAAAGAGCATTTCAGACAAAATACTGGTGCCACTTTTATATAAATCACTATCAGTTCAGCATTACGAGGTGTATTTTATGTACTGCATTTAGATGTCTTTATAAAAACATCTGATTGCGGTGGTGCCTCTAACACTTCAAATTACTGAATTTTCCCCAGTCTTATGAACTAGTTAAAGCTCAACTAATTGTTTTAACATGAGCAACCCAGTGACTGGTTTATCTATGCTATTTTACAATGATTTGCAAGGAAAGCCTACCTGGATGTTGGTCAGGAGGGTTTCTATGGAGGATAATCCATCAGGAAATAGGAAAGGAGACGGAAAACCCGGAGGTAGTGGCTGCCCATGACCAGTTAGCGAAAGTTTGTCAAGGCTGTCTCTTGCGGTTGGTGTGGAGAGCGGGGTCTCATCTGTATGTGATTGAAACAAAAATATAGAACAAGTTACGCTTGTCTGTTTTTATTAGACCTCAGTAATGGCTTCCCTAGTGGTTTCCAGAACATTTATTGCAAATTGGTTCCTGCTATCAGGAGAAAATGCTTTCTGCTGAATTTTCTTTAATGAAAAAGCTGTGGAGATACAACAAGATAACATTAATGAGTAACTTTATAAGCCTTTTAAATGCAGTCTCTAATGAGACTGAGTTTACAGTGCCATAGAATCTTTTTAAAACAAATATTATCTCACATATACTTGTGATAATATATTTAGGCTGACTTTATGGGTACCTTCCCAATTATCTCATTTTAGTCTGTGCACCGTTTAGACTGACAATAGAATATTTCCTTGTATGATGCTTTATATTGCTGGGGTATGGTTTATGCAGAAATAATTCTCAATTAATCAACCATATCCATTGTCTAAAGATTATGAGAAAATGAAACTCTGTGTAAAAACATCCATCCGGGTTACCTGTGTACACACTTCAAAAATGCTATACAGTGGTGCCTCGCATAGTGAAGAAATTGCTTTGCGACACTGTTTTTGCGATCGCAAAAGTGATCGCTTTGCAACGGCCCCTATGGGGAAAATTCGCTTTTCGGGGAAGCGATCATCGCAAAGCCCCCATTTTCACACAGCTGGTTGGCGTGGCTTTGCAATGATCGCGGGGACCCGTGATCATCGCAAAGCCCCCATTTTCACACAGCTGGTTAGCGTGGCTTTGCAATGATCACGGTCATTGGAAAGCCCCCATTTTTGCACAGCTGATCGGTGGTTCCAAAACGGCGGCCCACTGTTTTGCTTCGCTTTAGAGGCACCAAAAATGGCCGCCGCAATGGAGGATTTTCGCTTAAGGTGAGTTTTGGAGCCCATAGGAACGCATTGAAGGGGTTTCAATGCATTTCTATGGGCTTTTTAAAATTGCTTAGCGATGAAATCGCTTAGCAGCGATTTATGCTGAACAGATTAACGTCACTAAGCGAGGCACCACTGTAACAGGAACGTGCCACACAACACTAGAGACAAATACACACTGCTTCTGACCTGTATGCGCATTGCTGAATACAAGATTTCTAGTGTCCTCTCCACTTTCAACAACAATGTCGGGGGAGGGCATAGAATCATTTTATATGTCCCCTCCTCCCCAAGCAGCACAATCCGCTTATGTATAAAATTATTCAAGGAATGGATAAAGTCAGCACAGTCCGCTTAGGTATAAAATTATTCAAGGAATGGATAAAGTTGATAGAATGAAGCGGACATCCACTCAAATGGAGTGTTGGGAGAGGATAGAATGAAGCTGACATCCACTCAAATGGAGTGTTGAGAGAGTGAGAACAGACCAAAGAAAATATTCTTTACCCAGCATGTTGTTAGTCTGTGGAACCCCTTGCCACAGGAGGTGGTGATGGTATCTGGCCTAGATGCCTTTAAAAGGGGATTGGACAGATTTCTGGAGGAAACGTTAATTGCAGGTTACAAGCCATGATGGGGATGTGCAATCTCCAGGCTCAGAAAGTACCTCCAAATGCCAGATAAAGGGGAGGGGTATCAGGAGACAGGTCTCTCGTTGTCTCATGTGCTTCCAAAGGCAGCCGGCGTGGGCCACTGTGAGATACAGGGAGCTGGACTCACTGTGTGGGCCACTGTGAGATACAGGGAGCTGGGCTAGAAGGGTCCTTGCCCCGATCAAGCAGGACTCTTATTTTCTTATGTTCTTCTTGAGTGTTGCCTCATGTAGAAGAACATTCATCCTACTGCTAACTTTTCCACTGGAGTCTTGATTAAGAGTATTGAGTATTGAGATACTAATGGTGTAAACTTTACTGTTCTTTTTAAATGCATAATTCTTGCAATCCAGATCTGACTGGAAAAGAACTGTTGTTTGTGATGTTAACACCAGAATTGTTGACTCGCATCTTTTAACATTTTATTAGTTATGCTACAGGAGGAAGTGTTTGTGGGGATCAGAGCCATTTTAATGACATCACGCAAAAAATGATGACATTTATTTCAGGAATATTTGTCTCATCCACACAACATTGACTAAAAATGTTTTCCAAACAGACAATTTATCACAACAATCAAACTGTTTCATATACAACAACCCTGTAAAAATATTATTAGCCACAGTACTAGTGTATACTATTGGAGCAGGATAATGAATTTTAGAGGAAGGTATTTACCAAAGCCACAAAGTAAATCCTTGTCTGTGTTAAAGTGTACTTTACATCCACAGTTTTTAGCCACCCTTGCACTACTTTATACACTTGCAGAAACTGTCAAGATGCAAATGCCTGCTTGACAGACTGCAATACAAATTCTTTAGTTCTTACTTATATATTTGCTTTCCTTGTTATTAACCTCTATCCACCCATCTATACGTCAAACGTGTAATAAATAATACAGCTAGGAAAAACAAATGCATTTCTTGTTATATTATGCACATGATATTTCTAAACTGAAGTATGACTTAGTCCAAGTCTTGCATGTTTTAAGCCACACTTTAGGATGTTTCTTCACAGTGTGCCCCCCCCCATGTAACCATCTCCTCAGTTAAGTTTTAAACACACACTTAAATTCTTCTATTTAATTGAGACAACCTAGTTAAGTACTTAAGGATATAAATTGATAACAGTGTTAAAGACTAAGCCCTAGAGTGGCAGGGGTCATGCTGCTAATTAATGGTCACAAAATGTGACTGGATTTTGGATTTGGCAACTGTGCTGACAACTTAGTTAAGGGCCAATGGTCATGTAATTTGGTGAAGCTGTGGGTGAATAAAATTAATAAGCCAGAATGACTCCTGCCAGGAGCCTTACTTTTGAGTAAACATGGATAGATTTTCATAGTACATGTAAGCTCTATTCAAGTGTTATATCTGAAATCATGAAGGACTAAATGGGTAGGAGTGATGCATATAAGCCCTGCCACCCCACATCCCCATTCCACTCAGTAATAAAGGCAGAACTGAATTATGAGATGTTCAGGTAATAATATGTACTTTTGTACTCAACATTCTGCACCCTACAAAGGTCCATGTTACTCCAGTGCCACACTCTGTATTTTCCAAATGTCTGTATTATTTTCAGATAATACAGGGCCACAATGAGTTTAGTCCTCATGGTTTCACGTGTAATGCTCAAATAGAACTCACGCTATTGGAAAACATAAGCAGAGGCCTGCAACAAAATGTGACTTGGAATAATTAAATAATACAGTGATCTACACAACCTTTCATTTCTCCTTCACACGTCTCTACCTGTCACTCCATTTTTGGCTCCTTCTTTTCTCACTCTCTATTTTTACAATTCTCTCATTGCTGTTTCTCTGTTCTGCTGTTCTAAAATTTCCCAGCTGGGCTAAGTACAAATCTTGAAAACTGGGATATCCTTAAAAAGTATGCCAATGTTTTGCTATTGCTTTACAGCATTTTGGAGCACAATGTACAACTATGTAAAGCAGTGTATAGGTTGAATTGGAGTTTATAGTTAATGGCTTTTGGGAAAGATGGATGTCAGCCTGGATCAAGGGCTGACCTCGGTGCCTTCCATAGTCCAACTGGGTCTGGGCTGAAGGAGGGCTATGTTCATTACCTGAGGCAGGACCAAACCTTGCTTGGGATTGCATCATGCTATGAAGTGGCTTGAAGGTCAGTGGTGTCCAGAGATCCTTTCATACTGAGGGCATACAGACCTTGTATGAAAGCATCCTTCCTCAATTCTCAGCAGCCAATGGACATGAAGACTGCTGTGGACTGGCACAGCATTGAGTCAAGCCAAACAACCCTGCCCTAACAAGAAGGACCATGGGAGGTTGTGGGTCTAGAGGCAAATTGCTCAAGAAGGACACTAAGCCTGCTGTACATATTTCCACACTAAAGTTTTAGTTAATTGCACCAACAGCTCTCTCCAATGGAGATAACTAACCCCTTGGGCCATTTTGACATCTCCTTACCCATGGATGATCTGGGGACTAAAACACACACCAAGTTTAAAAACTGTCCTTAGCCCTCAAATCCTACATAAATGTTTTGCAGTCATTCTACAGTTTTGAAGCAAAAAGCCCAAGTTTTGTGATGGTACCTGAACCATATTGCTAGCATAGATAAAGTTAGAAAACATAGAAGGGTGCAATGAAAAAGATGTCAGCTTCTGAGAAGCCCACAAGGCTGAGAGTAATTGACACAAAATCAAAGAGAACTTGAACCTGGATATCAATGTGTAACCACTGCATTTCACTGCTTCTCTGTTTATCGCTATGCTAGCCACATAGTTTTGGTTGGTGCTGCAAAAAGTTAGGTTACCTACCTGTAACCATGGTTCTTGTAGTGGACCTCTGTGAAATCGCACAAATGGGTTTTATCCTGCGCCTGTGGGGAGGCTAATTCTCTCCCCCCCCAAGCTCTAGAATCCTCCAAGCGTCCTGCGCAGACGCAGGATAAAACCCATTTGTGTGCATTCACAGAGGCCACTACAAAGCACATGGGGTTTGTGCCACAAAATTCCACAAAACAATTTCAGATCTTCGGCATGTGTTTTGAATGCAGAACACTTGGATATTGGGATGCTAACTAGGAACTTTATTTGATGTATCAATGACACAGTTTTGAGTGGTGCTGTAAAATGCGACACTAAACTCCTTTATGGTCCAGCTCTCACTTCCATAC